AAATACATAAATATACACAACATAAATACATAAATATACACAACATAAATATACACAACATAAATACATGAATATACACAACATAAATATACATAAATATACACAACATAAATACATAAATATACACAACATAAATATACACAACATAAATACATAAATATACACAACATAAATACATGAATATACACAAGAGGCACATTACCATTCAATGCTATGCCAAATAGGCTGTCAATATTGTCAACAATATAAACAAGGTGTTTATATGCTGTTGACAACATCAGAATAACACATAAAGTAAGTAACCTCACTAGAAAATATATTGTATGGTTCACAATAGTTAACAATACTATAAATATGTAAATAAAGAAAACATTTACTGTGGAATACTTTATTTTCGCTGGAATTAATTTTCACTGAAAAGGCTTTTTGGGCGTTTTGTGTGGAATTTATTTTCACTGATTTTTGATGAGTTTAATGTGAAGTATAGGAAAAAAAGTATATTCGCTGGATTTTATTTTCACAGAAACATCCGTTCAGCGAAAATAGCGAAAATAAATTCCAAGCGAAAATAAAGTATTCAACAGTATATAAATAATCCCACAAAAAGTACACAATCAAAACATACCCTGACTCAGTCTAGACAACCGCCACTGTAAACAGCTTCAATCAAATAGTGTAGTTCAGTTTCAGCTAACAGTCTAGGCACGAGATGAAAATGCATAAATTATACACTAAATCAAATTTACATCAAAACAGTCATAAAATATGAAATCATAAAGTGCGTGGTTAGAAAATGCATCAAGTATCACTCAAATGTCATCAGGAGTTCATAAGTATCTTGTTCTATATCATAAAGAACAATAACAAATTTCAATAAATCTTGCAGTCCATAGACGCCATGTATAAAATCTGTCAACAAACTTGAAATGTGAATTTCTCATAAAAAACATGAAATACAATGCTGAAGAAAATACAATATAAAATACATTGCTTACCAGTGACATTGGCATCAAAATGAATGATTGATGGCCAATATTAACTCAGAAAAGAAGAAGAATCTTCCGCCAACCTAGCAGAAGACAACATTCAAAAATGGACAGATGGCTGAAACATGACCTTTGACCGGTCAAAAGAAAGTAAATGAAGAAATTGTTCTCTGATAAAAATAGTATTAAATCCAAGCATTGCATTATCAAAGATAATGAAATTACAAAAATAGGGCAGTTTACAATGTCAGAAAAATCATTTCACAGAAAAATCTCAAAATTATCAAAAATCGTCTCAAGAGGGCGCTGTGTTCAATTTCATGTCTCACACTGTTATGGATTCACAGTCAGCGAAGTGCTACGTTTTGAAACCAAAGCTAAGTGCTTCAAACCACTCATCAAGGTATGGATTATTGTAATATTGAATTCATCGTGAATGAAGAGAAAGCAGAACGTGTGCGCCACATGCTGTGTGGTTCATCTTACGTCATTAAGATCCAATGAGTTTTTACGTAAAAACACAAACAAAACGGCCTTTTCAGGGCCACCGCACACTCCAAAAAGAGAACTGCCGTAACAAACACACTATTTAAATAAATCAAATGCGTTCGTTTTTGACAAATAAAACTTTATTGTTGACCCCCGTTCTTGGCTAAAAATCACCCTGGGCGTTTAACCGAGGATGTCCCCAACATGTAACTTCTTGTGAAAACAGGGGGGTGGGCGCTTGCCCAGGGAGGGGCGCGTGCCCAGGATAATACGGTATTACCTATACCATAGGTTCCTATGGCAGAGATATCATATCATATCTCAAATTGTAGTCTGGTGAAATATGCTGAAAAAATTATATATTGTGAATGATGGGGTACTTTTTGATGTCCTATGGAATTTTTTTTAAAATAGCGAAAAATATTTGGAAAATATTTCTCAAAATACGTCACTGTAACACACAAAAGAATATTTCATGGTGCCACGGGACAGTAGTTTCATGATTTTACATAATAAAGCAATTAACACTCTCGTGCGATTTATGACGATGAGTAAGCTTCTACCTTGACAACTATTACAATTTTGAATAAAATCCAGTAAACAATGTCTGTTTGGCCTAAAAATAATGTGTGAACGTATGTCAAAATTTTTTTTAGTGGTAAACAATTAAGTATTGTATTAGTAAATTGCATTAGTAAAAAAGTAAGACATCCAATTAAGTTTCACTGGGAATTTGAAATTTGTATTTAATTAAAGAATCCTTTCGTCGCTGCACATCATTTTCAATATATGACTTTTGTGACGCGTGTAAAATAGTAGATTGTTTGTTTACACAAAACATGTCACTTGATGACTTTGCTACTTTAAAAGCAGTGTTACACTTGTAGCAACTTGTTCCAAACAAGATATCTTTCCTTAAGAATATTAGTGCAGGAATTGAGTCCTAAGCGACGATAACAACACATGCTAAAATTGCAAAGGCTCATGGGTAGATGCTTGTTTGTAAACAATGACACGCTATGACCATCTGTCGCATGCGCAGTTGACGACGGACTCCCTCACTTTAATAACAAATACAAATGCTCATAGATGCGTTTTCTCAGTTCTATACAGTCGTTGCGTCGCATTATGTTTGATATAGGTCCCATTGCAACATATACCATGCATGTAAAACACGCTGTTTGTTCACACATTCACAATTTGAACACACGCAGCATGACAACTGTAACACTTCAACTCACACCAACTGTGTTTATCTTGTTTATTTCACAGATTCTGTTTACAATGTGTCCATCTTAGGCGTCCATAACACTATAGTGAATCATCAGAATAACTACACAGTGTTATGTAATGGAAGGTAAGAAAGTTGAGTTAAAATTAAATCTTGACAATTTAAGGTTTTATAATAGAAATTAAAAAAGTAATTTCCACCTCTTTGTGAGATCTTGTGTGATTCAGTGTCAGGTTATACATACTCTAAAAGTTATAATTTACAAGGCATAAATTTTAACATTTTTGTGTAATTTGTTTAAATATATATTAAATTAATATTCAAATGAGAAATTTAACTGATTTTGAATGAAATATCATTCTTAGATTACTGGTATCGTAAAATCTGTATTAGAAGCCGCATCCCTTCTGTTGCATATTGTACCATTTTAATAGAAACCGTGGTTTCTAATACAGATTTTACAGTAGTATGTATCCTAGATATTTTTTGAGTTATAATTGATTTAAAATGTTTCTCAGGTCAGGAACTCTTTAGTGTCAATGGGAGAGAAGTGGAACTGGAGATAAATAACTTGCTAGTTATAGTGCTGTCATTAATGATAGAAAAGTGTCTTTTTTTTCATGAACATTCTGAACTAGGTTCACACAGAAGCTGGTAATCTTTTATTTAAAGCACAATGCACAGAACATAGGGATTATAATTAAATATGTGTTTTTTATATTATAAAGTGTAAGCTTAAGGTAGACATGCAGTTTACCTGACAGGTATTTTAATTAGTTAATTAGGCAACCAAGGACCTCCCTTGTCTACAAAACCATTTTTTTTCAGAAAGCTTATTGTATGAATTTTAAAATTGTGTAAGTATGTTTTTTATGGAGACTAGTTTGAAATATGCACAAAAATGTGTTTTTTTTGGTCAAAAATTATTTAAAAAAAAAAAATTAGCTTCTAAACCATGCCTCTGTTTCCTGTCAAAAATGGTTTACGGGTACATCTGTTTACTATGAAGAAAGTGCCGTCTTGAAAACTGTCTACCAGTTGTCAATATTGCAGGGCAGCAGCTCAAATTTCACTACTTCAAGTTTATGCATAAATTAACACCCAGGCTTATCGTCTGTACGATTGTTGTAACACTATTCAACCAAAAACAATGACCCGACGGCGTTTTCAAGATGTCAATCATTTGTGAAAATTTCAAAAGAAAAGGTCAAAGCATCTAGGAGCTAATTCTGTTTAAAATTCTGGGATGTGCAGTAAAAATATGCTGAGATAATTGCTAATTTGCATATTTTATAGTTAAGTAAAAATATATGCTGATTTACATCGCCATTGGATTTAACAGAGTTCAACTAATGATTTCATACAATGCCATAAAAAATGAAAAAAAGTGAAATTTGTCAAAATTTGCTGCAAAATAAACTGCATCGGTACCTAAACTAAAAAATTTCAGCATTTTTAAATCTAATTTGGCAGTAGTATGATTTCCAGTAAATGAAAATATATTGTATTTGAGAAAATATACAAATGTAGTGATCTACCAAAAAATCAACTTCAAAAATATAGTTCTGTATAATTGTTTTAATAAATTTCTCAAAAATTGAATTTGCATTTTTTTTTCTAGTTTACCAATCAATCTGTGTTGGTATTTCTCAACTGATAACTGTGAAATATCTGTGAATGAGTCCGAACCAGTTATCTGTCAAAAAATAACTGAAAAGTGTGAATTTCATTTGGTGAACCACTACAACTCAACTGGAAGCCATTGTTTGCGTGTCCTAGCAACCAATGATGTCAGCAGCAACATTACTGCCCTTTTTGAAGTCAGTGTCAAGGAAGGTGAGACTCAATCTGCATTTTATCACACAAACTTTATTCAAAATTATAAAACAAACCTGACTATTATTTTATGGATTTGATTTTATAGATTCCCAGAATGCTTCACTTCTACAAGCATTATTGATGGAGACAAATATTGTTGATTCATTTTGCTTTTATGCAGTTATGTTTCAAAATGACAATTTTATTCTTTTTGATTTTATTTGATTTTATTCTAAAAATTAGCTCATTTTTTGATGATTTGTGAAAATGTTCATTTATTTAAAATTATTAGAAGTCCTTAAAGATGATTGCAAATTCATATATTTCTGTCATTAATTCAGAGCCTAAACCACCAGATCCTGCAGTAACTGCTTCAGTGTCGACTTTTGCTGGATTAACTACAGTTGGTGCAATCGTTGTCGTCCTCTTTGCCTCATACCAGGTTGTGAGGGCTCGCAGAATGAGACATGTGGAAGTAGCCGACTTTGACTTTATGGGAAGCATCTCAAATAAACGGTCCCCCTCTACGTCACCGGTATCATCATCATCATCATCATCATCATCATCATCTTCATCTCCATCATGGTTTCCATTCTGGGCAAAGAAAAAAGAGAGAAGTCCGCTGATTAATGAGTACAAAACAACTGCAGCAAAATACGAGTCATTCTTGGAAATACTTTGAGCATCTTTGTAATAAAAAAATGTATGTTTCTCATCACATGCCTCACATTCAAAGTGCAAGTGTCTAAAATAAAAAGGTTTCAAAATCTGAAACCCCCAAAAAGTGTACTCTTCAAAAGAAGAAGCCTAAAGGCCATGTGTAGTTTCCATGGCAACAAACAGACATCTATATCATTTATCCCTTTATATTTACATAACTATATAACTAGAGGCTTATTCAGCAATTATGAATCCATTCAATTTTAATTTTATAATGCACTGGTATAGCATAAACAAAAAATTGCTTTAAACAATCATGAATGGGTATTTTAAGTTTGCTTTCATGTAAACACCACTGTCCAGACTGCAAGAAGCTTCTCCAAAAGATGGCTGTCTGGGAAGTGGCGTTTGTGCATAGGTGTGTTAATTGATGTTGATTCAATTCCATCCAGCAAAAATATGAAGAGATTTTTCTGTAACAGTTTAAGTTTTGTGTTGGCCATGTCAATACCATATCACAGGCATCTTTGAAAGTTTACAAAAATGTTGTAAAATTTAAAACTCTATTGCAAGTTCATGTTGGTAAAATTAGCAATAATCATTTTTTCATAATTTTATAAATGCTATTCCAGGTCATTTTACTATGATAATATGCAGCCTCGATTCAAAAACAAATTTTTTTTGTTAAATCTTTGGAGATTCCAGATGGGGGTTTTTGACTGGTTTCTCTGCCTCCAGTTATTTGCTGCATTCGGAGAGATGAAGGCAGCCATGTTAATAAATGCAAATTGGAATAAAAATTATATTTCTTTACTTACCTGTTATTACATAATTTTCAAAAGTATATTCAAGGAATTGTTTATAATGCCAATCAACTTGCCAAGAATTATTACATATGAATTTACAGTTGGGTAACTGAGTTCTATTTATTGTGTTCTCTCAACAAGGTATATTGTTAATAAAACATGCATCATTATTACCAATTATATTTCAGTCAAATTTAATTTTTTTAAATTTGGTTTCATAAAACTGTTGATATATACCCGGTATTACATGTGAAAATTCAAGCACCGATGTAAATGTGTGATGTTTAAAATTGGTTCCATGTGACGCATACAATGCGTGAAAAAAAAAATTAAAAAAAATTATTTGTACGTTGCACAACGACTATGATGGTTGAACGTTTTCCAGTAATATATTGTTTATTTTTTAGTTCACAAGGTATTATCTCTCCCACAATATGTTACTGTGTGTATCAAAGCAATGCTGTAGATTTTATTTCCATTTTTTTAAAATTTTATTCACATGTGAACAGGACTACACGTCATACAGGACTACATATTTCATTTGTGGTTTTATTTTCAGTTCTTTAAATTATTATTTATTTATTTTTAATTTGCTCGGATAATTTTCATTTCTGTTCAGCTTGCGTAGTTCGATCAAAATATAGTTTTAACAACAAGACTGCAGGACAAATTAACATAATTATATGGTGTAGCATTTCAGTAGTAACAGGCGATTACACAGAATATAATGGGAGATATTACTGCCTGGTCATGAGAAATGGCGACAGCAATAATGTAACAATATTCCTTCTTAGGTATCATCTAATATTTCTCCTGAATTTAAAAAGTTGGACACAACTTGCCATAATTAATTAGTTTTTGATATGAAAGGCAAATACCGGTCAAGTTTGTTGAAGATCTGTCAACAGCAAAATGTATTAATTCATATCAAAAACATAGCTCACCTCTCTAGTCTGAACTAATACTGGTACAGGTAAAACTTCAGGAGTTTCTGTCAATGTACTGCCCTCTAGTGTTCAAATGAAGTTTTTTATTCCTGCCAATATACTGCCATCTAGTGTTGGACTGAGTTTGTTTATTATTATTGATATACTGCCCTCAAGTGCAAGAATTTTTTTTTCAATATATTGCCCTTTTACTTTTGTGATGCATGCATAATCTCTGCTAGTTTGGATATAGGTTTGCACGAGGGCTAGCTATTTACAAATTTAAAGACTAACTTTGTTTTATATGTTAAAATATTATTAGGAAATTATTTTCTCATTATATGCAACAAGTATAACTCTTTAAAACTATGTACAAAATGACAGACTCAATGTTATCAGGAAATATGCTCGAGTGTGGTCGTTACAGTCTCTTATGTCACAAACTCTTCGACGCTTTTCCATGTTTTATCGCATACTTATTTCTGTGGCGTAATTATTTCATTCGTAGAAAATTTTGTTCTCTGCAAATCCCATCATCATCGTTGGTTACAAAAATAATTTTAATGTTGATTTGAAAAGGTCATGTTTTTTCTCATAGAGCATGTGTATCAACTTAAAATAAAGACAATTTTTTTCTCAAAAACAAGATTAGTGACCCTCTGTTCTTTATTATTACTAATAGAATTATCTTCCAGTGTATTAAAAATTCAGTTTCTGTGAAGCTGCTTTGAATATCCTTAAAAATGAACACTTTTATAATGGCACTGTTAATTATATGTCTGCATGTCTCTTGAATGCCAAGTGATTAGACTGATAACATTTCCAAGAAAAACTTGCACAATTTTTATTCTCTATACACATTTGCCAACAACTTTATGCAAAGTTGAAATATTCACAACTACTCCAAATTAATAATAAAAATTTGGTAATGTGTGTGTGAAAAAAAAAACTGTCAAACATTTTGTTAATCGCAGAAAGTGTGAAAGCTATACTTTTTATCTAGCGGAGTTGAAATTTGACATTTCTATGCATATTTGTAGTCTTGGTCGGCTCCAAAGTACATTGTAGGTTTACTTCGTATTCACTGCGCAAAAGAAAAAAAAAAATGTTATGGTGGCATTTAAAGTGTACTGTAAAACATGTCTTTTTAGCGAGAGAACTGATTCGCTAATGACCTTATTATCAATTCGAAATGGCTGCCAAACAAAGAAATCAACAATGACAAGATTACGTCATTTTACCACAATTCGCTAAAATTGCATGCCGCTTTTTCAACGTGTTTTACAGTATATAGTCTAGTACTGTGCGAATTAGTTACTGATACGAACCGGAGTGTACGCTCAATGCATAGCTCATTTACATTAAATTACGAGTTGGTTAATCATGTTTTTGTTGCAGAAAATGACAATGTTTTGCCAAAACAATAAAATAAAATGCATATATACTGAGAGTGTGAATGACCTGCATAGTTAGAACACATTTATAAATGTGACAACAAATCTTGAAACCTTGCTAAACAATTTGGGTTCAAAATGTAGTGCACAACAGAGTTTTTTTTGGTTAAGTAAATTAATAATATTCCAATTAGAAAAGTTAGATGTAGAGCATCATGGGATACCATGGTATTTCTGTACAAAGAACCAAATAAATTACTAATTTTAAGAGTATGGCATTAATAATTTTTCTAAAATAATATTCTGATTTTTTTTTTTTAAACAAAACATACTTTGTATGATGTAGCAAGCAGAGTATTAGGAAATAAAACTTTCAAATTTGTTGCTGATTGGTGCCTTGGACGGAAACGTGAAATCAAATGTTACATTTCAAGTTCATTGTAAATATCACCATTTCATTATACATTGAAAAAGATTAAATACAATGTACTGTACTCTACTACATTTTTTAGACAAAGTTCTATACAAAATCAGGCAGCCCAAACCCATTTGCAACAACCTGACGTATTGGTCGACGACACCGATGTACATGTAACTTGCAACAACCAACATTCATTGAGATTTCAGTGGAAATGCAAGTTGTACAGGATTAGTCATTTCTGAATATTTCTATATTAACAGCACTGAGGTCGTTGCCCTAATATTTACATCTACAGGACTACCTTTCATTCCTCAAGGTAAGAACCTTGTTTCATACAAAATTATGAAAACTGATAATTGACAACACCAAAAAAAGTGTTCTGAAATTCTCAAAACTTGCTATACCAGTTTTGTATTGATACAATGTATCACCTAGTTAGTTCCTTGACCAGATTTATCCTCACAAAAGAACCTTCAGTTTCATGTAAGCCTCATTTTTGGTACATGCATTTGTAGTGCAGAGCTTACTATGTATCTGAACATAGTGAACATACTCGGAGGAGTTGAGGTCAGAATACTGCAATTCTTTCTAAAATGGGGGAAAATAAAGCTATTTTACATTTGTGAGAAAATTAGTATTTAAAAGCTCAGGTTGTAAGATATTAAGACAGTAGACTGAGTTTACCAAGTAATTGTTGTAAACAGGATAAAGCAGCATATAATTATCTAAAATTAATAAAATATAATTTGAATATTATTTATTAGGTCTTTGTTTGCATAATGAAGAGTTTTTTTGTTAAAATTCTCCTATTTCAGGTGCTATTGGTTTTGGTCGCTTGCTAAAATCTTCATGCGTTAGTCCTTTAGCCTTCGACAGCCACGCAGCCCTCTGTTTCTTCCTCTGTCCCAACGATCTCTCTCGCATATATTGTTCTTGTAGCGTAGTGATTTTCTCAAGGTAATCTTCAGTTTGTGTTCGTGTTCTCAACTGGAACTCTGACGTTCCACCGACTTTGAGCGGGTCTTTGACCGATGCCAAACTGAATCGTGAGGATGCCGTCATGGGACGTGACGGTGGCCGCTGTTCATGCTGCACAGATTTTGGAGTGCCAACTTCAATTTTGCTGGGTCCATGCATAAACATAGGAACCATAATAACGGGTTCAGTATGTGTGGTAGACATTCCGTTCTTTTTTTTCTTGAATTGCATGCTGACACCAAATGCTGCCGGCGTACTCGGCAAAGCGCCAACGCTCTTAGATCTTCTCATACTGGGAGATTCATTGACTGTTGCTGTCACCTGCTCGCCTGAATTGGTGACTGTAGACTGTTTCACAACTCGGGACTTTGCAGTTTGTGGTCTGAGAAGTGTTGGTTTTGGAATTGTAGAGTTTACAGTCTTTGAAAACATACTGAGATGCGGCTTAGCATCTAAAGGCATGCTTTCTATAGGAGTGACAACTGTCTCAGACGTTGTGACCTTTCTTGAGACACACGACCTGTAAGACGAAACACTAGAAGAAGTAGACGACCGACTTGCCTGAATACTAACAGACCTATCTTCCCTGGACACAGTTTTTCTCTCAGGTGATGGTTCCATTTTATACTCTATTTCCTGGCAATTGTGTGTTGTGTTTTTCACAAGTTCACCAGTTGTATCTTTGGAAATTTCAACAGCGTTATGCACCAACAAGAGTCTATCGCTTGGTGTCAGTCGGTCCTTTACTCGTTGGTGTGATCGCCACACAGCTCTCGCTTCTGAAACAGAGACCACTTCATCAGGATCGGGATCTGTTCGACTTGCATAAAAACGTCCTTGCACACTCGCTGGGGCACTGTGGCCCCTCTCTGGAAGCGTTACACGCTTGGTTTGTGAGACCATTTTAGCACTTTGCGTTGAATACGCAGTAACTGGTCGCGAACAGCTACTCAACACGCTATCAGGTCTTGATTTAGCACTGCAAGATGGTGGATGCATCGATAATGTTGTAACGTGAGTGTCACAGGTGCCTGGCCGTGAATACATCTTAACTGATTTTGACATTGAAGTGGTGGGACGTGATGAAATAGACATCCTGGTAGTCTCGGCACTTTGTGGTCGTATTCCCTGCACATTATGGTACACGCTGCCTTTCAAACTATTTGTCAGTTGCACTTCACGCATCGTACTTTGAACAAGCGCTGCTCGTTTCATACTTTTAGCACTAAGTGTTCTGGTACTGTGAGGAATTTGGGTATACTTCAAATACACCATGGCGCTTGGCGCCTGCTCACACCGATTGTGTTGAATGATTTTGGGATTGGCCGATCCAGCACGCTCCATTCTATTTGCACGGACATAGGAATAATTGTGTTTTCTCAGCGGGGCATCAGCATAGTGGTTGTTGTATGTCAGTATCTCTATTTTGTCGCTATCAAGTGTGTAGTCCCAATCAACACGTTCAAAGTTAAACACTAGCAAAGTGTTCACTGTGTTCAGCAACATTCTGAAAATGAAGCAGAAACGAACAAATTAGACATTTTGAATTCGCTAAAATAGATAACATGATTATGATTACAAATCACTGTGGACATTTTTATTACCATTTTTTTCCCAGATCACAACGTGTGGAGGAGTATTTCATTTTAGGGAACTTTAAATTTCAATGTCAATGTCATTCCCGTTTGTACTTTGCTGAAGTGACATTAAAGACTCCAAATTAGGTCTTATCTTTGTAACAGTTTTGAACAAAATTGGTCCAGGCGTGCCGAGAAATGATGTTATGCAACAGTACGGTATAAATGACAAGGAAAAACGTAGCTTCCTTGTTACAACGCAAGTTATGATTATACCACAGTGAATTGTATTTAATTTAGAATCCTTCCACCTTCCATAAAATAGTCCCCATTGAACATCATTTTTTCATAAATAATAATAAAAATACATTGATCAAAATCTATAATAACATTTTGAGCGTCATTTTGGGTAAAACACTTGAAATTTGAGAAAAATGTTTGCACCATTTTTGCAAAAATAACAAGCAACCTCTCGGCCCTGCTGTTAGCAATGCACATTTCAATTAGAGAATTGAAGTACCTATATGTACAATATCTAAGCAATCCCTTTTGATGTTTTTAACAAAAAGCCAAAAATATCACTTTTTACCAAAAATGACAAAAATATTCACAAAAATTGTAGAATTAAAGATATCATCATGAAATGAACAAATCTAAGAGAGGTCTACCCAAGGTACATATACACCATTCAAGTAGCAAAGCAATCGGACTTGTAGTTTTCAAGAAGCCAAAGAAGTCAAGAAAGTAATAAGTGGCCTGACGGTCAAAATAGCCACTGTCTTACAAGAACATTGTGCTAGTCTGATAGAGGTCCACACAAAGTACCTACATATCAAGTATCAAAGCAATTGAGTTTTCAAGAAGAACTTGAAAATGCAATTGTTAACGGACGATGGACGGACTACGACGGACAATCACCTATATAAACAGCTCTGAACTGTCATCTAACAGCGGAGCTAAAAAGTTGATATGGACGACAAACAAGCACTCATATGATAAGCTTCGATTGACAAAGTCGACAGCGGAGCTAAAAAAATTAACTGGTCAACCTACCTGTCCCCACAGCATAGAATGGTATCAACCGGATCAGATCGGCTATTCCCTCTCATCACACGTAAGCATTCTCCTTTCAAAAAATTCCATATTCTGAGTTTGCCATCAGCACAGCCAGAAACTAATCTCATGTAAGACATCTCTATACACAACACTTCTCTGCAATATATGTAATATATATAAATTCATGTATTATTGTTCTTATCAACATGACCATAGTTCATATACATGCACAGTTTAGTGTGACATATGGCTAGTACGGTAAACGTCACAATATTCACAAAACATATCATAATTTATGCAGTTGTGGAGAAAAAGAAATCAACAAGTATTTATTGTAGTGATAATATTCATTTCAATCACATAATGACGTAATGCTGAACTTTAACCTCAATGTATCAATGACCTCTGACCTAAAATGGCTGATGAAATCTGATAAGAGTTCTAATATTTTAATAGAAAACATAAAACAAAAACATTCTTCAACTTTGTTGTATGATCAGTCAGACAAGTCAATTTTTAATTGTCAAAATAAAAAAAACTATAAAACTTTATATATAAATTTTGATCAATACCTAGAGACAATGAAGAATTAAAAAAGAATTCAAAGAAAAATATATAAAAATGAGACTTAGGCTTCGTAAAGTTTTCAATGTTTGACTCACTATTGTGATTTTTCAGAAATTCTGCAAGAATAGATGCCCTCTCTAAATTAATTACTGTAAAATACTTTAATTTCGCTTGGAACTAATTTTCGCTATTTTCGCTGAAGGGATGATTCAGTGAAAATAAAATCCAGCGAATATACTTTTTTTCCTATATTTTACATTCAACTCGCCAAAAATCAATGAAAATAATTTCCATACAAAACAACAAAAAGGTATTTTAGTGAAAATTAATTTCAGCAAAAATAAAGTATTTAACAGTATCATTACATATACATGTATGAAGAAATCAAAAACCTGTTTTACAGTAGCCTTACTTTGGATGTCTCAGAGCGCTCAAACATCTTTTATGCACACCAACGTTACTCCACGTCAACGCGTAGCAATCTTTACTGGCTGTAATTATATGCCATTCATCAATCTTGACTCCTGTTACTGGCCCATGGTGACCATCAAGTCTCTAAACATGAAAACAGTGATTGAAATTAAAAATTATTTAAATGCTAAAAGTGGCACGAAACAGTAAGACTTTGTTTTCTTTTTTGCCAACTCGCGAAAAAAAACATGGAGAGAACACAGTGCAGTGGTATGTATGAAAGAATTTGGCTGATAAAAAGTCTCTCTCAGCTTTGGAAGGTCGTGAGAAAAATAGTTGATCAAGATATTTCTGAAAATTTGGATTTTTAAGCTTAAAAACAATTTTTGGACCATAATTATTTGGACCAAATTATTATTCTCCAACAATCCCTTCACAAAACAATTTGGAGATCACTAGTCTTGATTTCAAACTATAGTCTGTATTTAGTATTACCCCATAAATTATGGAACAAAATCATAGTTTTAATTGAAACATCTTCCATAAAGAATTTCCCAGGCATGAAGAATTTTTTTTGCAATTGACGTAAATTTTTTTTGTATTCATGCTTTTCTCAATTTTTCACACTATACAACTATCATAAACATTTTTATTTTTATTCTCTTCACTCATAACAGTTTTCAAATGAATGATCTACTGTAGAATACTTTATTTTCGCTATTTTCGCTGAAGGGATGATTCCGTGAAAATAAAATCCAGCGAATATACTTTTTTTCCTATATTTCACATTAAACTCATGAAAAATCAGTGAAAATAAATTCGAAGCAAAACGCCCAAAAAGCCTTTTCAGCGAAAATTAATTCCAGCGAAAATAAAGTATTCCACAGTATGTATTTGTACTTGAAGTGAGCTGGAATACTGGAATTTTTTTCAAAACGTTTTCCATCATTTCAGGTTTTTCATGCCAAGTTGGAAATAGTCTGACCATTACTGATTTCCAGAACTAAATACTGATCTAAATATGACAATACCTTTAGAAGTGATGCTGATGGGATATCCCACACTTTGACCCGGCCACCTTCACATCCGCTCACTACTCGGCCATTCAGTATTGCAACCGCTAAAACTTGATGTCTATGTTTAAACGTACGTTGACATTTCCCACTGACAAAATTCCACACTGAAAATGAATTTGAGAAGTTATTTGGTGTTGACTTTCAATCAATCTACATCACTGGAAAGAAAAATACTGTTAGCTTATTATATCATCAAAAATACATTTTTCTAAGTCTAGTAAAAATGTCATCATTAGAATCATAGTGATTTTCGTGAAATTTAGTTTTCACAAATTGTGATAAATGCCCTCAATTTATTAAAGGTACTACCATAAAATCTGTGTTAGAAGCCGCATCCCTAATAGAAGTTGCGCCCATTTTTTTTTGAGTAATTGAGTATCAAAAATTCACCATTTCCCATAGGTGTAAATCCTGTAATAGAAACCGCATCCCCTCTGTTGCATTGTATCATTTTAATAGAAGCAGCTGCTTCTAATACAGATTTTACAGTAATTTAGCATATTGTAAAACATGACAATACCATTTTAGCAAACTAAGCTTATCGAATGTAATAGTGAAATGTGATGGCCATTTTGAATTTATAATGACCTGATACCGACATCATAAACTAGCTAGTTAGTGACCACGCTAAAAAAGACCAGGTTGAAAAAAAACTTATATAAAGAATTTATTTAATGATATTAGCAATGATGTTCACATGCTAAATATATCAGTCATGAAGACTGCCAAGTCAAGTTAATTTTATTTTTTGTTGCAAATGAATCCCAAACAATGTAAAGTTGTGTATACCTTTGACAGCGTTATCTTTACCACCAGACACCACGCGATCATCGTCCATGTCTAGACACATGACGGTATTACGATGTCCTCGGAATATCTTCTGACATTGACCAGTGTCCAAGTTCCAACATCTGCAAAAACAAATATGTTGAAAGGTAAGCAGAAAGTGAAAGCAGAGAAAGGAAAGTTATGAATGACACACGCAACTTCTACTGAAATATTTGTAAATTTGAAGCGAGGGAGTCGTCACCTACACATGCGTCAGATGGCCATAGCGTGTCATTGTTTACTAACAAGCATCTACCCATGAGCCTTTGCGTTTTTAGCGTGTGTTGTTATCGTCGCTTGGGACTCAATTCCCACGCGTGCGCAGATGACGACCCTCTCGCTTTAAATCAATAAAGATTTGTAAGCACATTTCTGTTCACGTGGTCAACAGAAACAAAAACATTTTTAATCTCCATAATTTTTTTTTTTTTTTTTTAACTGCTTGGCAGTTTTTTACCTTTGTTAAATTTTGACTGATATCAAAACTAAATCTGATGCAAATTGTGACTTACAGATCCAAGTTTAATGCCTCGTCTATAATTGACCTTAGACCCTATTGGTGATGATGATGACCTACCTTATACTGGTATCATAGCTACCACTGAGCACAAAATTTCTTTCTTCATCAATGTAGACGCATCTAACAGAACCAGCGTGCCCGGTGATGACTGGTCCGACCTCTTTCCCAGAGATAACGTCAATCAGATGCACTTTGCGGTCGGCTGAACCCATGGCTACGAGTTGACCATAGTTGTAGTGAACAACCCGACCATAATCATCCCTATTGAAGAACAAAACATAATACTTGTGGGGTTTTTTCACTCAAAAGAAATATATTCTTGTAGATATTGAACAAGTAAAAAAAAAATGTGTGTAAGTAAACAAAAACTTAAATGCACATAAACATAGTAAACAAGTGCCACAAACAATAATAATTAATAAAGTGCCATAGTCGTCCTGCAGTGTGTACAATTTGTTTACATAAATACTGTTTACATGCATTGTATGTCACATGGGACCCATATTGAGATGTTATAAAACTACTTTTTTCTCAATGGTTTGTATGTAATTTACTACAAATCAGTGAAAATAAACTACATATCTCAACCCAAATTGAGTTTTTCAGAGAAAACTTATTTCAGCAACAGTAAAGTAACCCACAGTATACATAGTCTCAGCTTTTTTTCAGTACATTTTTGTTGTTGAAAAAGAGTAAATTTTACTCTTAAGGTACACAGCTTTTCCTCTCAACTTATTCAATAACTATTGCTCAGCTTAATAATTTATAATTTTAATAATTTTTAATACATACATAAATTTTGGGAATAATGTTTAAATAATGTAAATTATTTAAATTACTAGCCATTGTTTTCACATATTTTTATTTATTTGTCTGTAATTAATGGACATATATTTGCATTTTACAGATTACAGGAATATTTTTTTTTTTTGAACTATTGGAATATGAATATGAGAAATTATTTTGGGAAAGGTGATAAAGTTGACTTAACATTTAAAGAGGTTAAAGGTCAATGGTTAAGGGTCAATGGGTTAAACAGTTAGAGAAAATTTGCCATACGTGCACAGACTGCCACCATATACACCTCCTGGCTAGTTTGCTCATGTATGTGTTATTTCATTTTTTTCCAACAACAAGGAGTGTGTTGGTACTCTAATCAACTACAAAATGTATACAAATATTGATAAATGATAAAGCAAAAGTCATAAACACGGATAACAAAACATGAAAACACAAAACAATACAAACATGCAACATTTTTTTTTTCTCACAAAGTTATTCAATCTTTACATATATTTCTTACTCCCATGACCAGATTTTAAATCAACATGTTTTACAGTATATTACAGTGCAATGACAACAACAACAACAAGTGAATCTGCATGTATATCTGAGTACTTTAAACAATGTAAACTTTCACTGGGAATTATGGAAACTGAGGGTATTCACTGATTCCAAGGAACATGTACATTGTATACTTACAGAATGGTGAGTAAACCAAAGTCGAAAAAATTATTTTTGATGACCTTGTTCCTTGAAAGCATCTATTAAGTCGTTTTGAATTTCAGATAAACAAACAACATTTGGTATCTGCCTGCTGGTACATGAACTTCGGTGTTTTAATTTGCAATTTTGCATTTGGTGAAATTTTGTGGTTTCATATCGAACTAATCAAAATCAAAACGTAGAATAATGCATGTTCAAGAAAGAATTCCAGCCTTATGTTGACTAGATATGTGCAGCTGTCAAACAACAACAATTAGCAAACTACAATTAGGCAACACAAAATGTTTGTGTATTTTTTAATTTTGTGCTTTTTTAGTGAAAAATGCAAAATTAAAAACATGTGATATTTAAATATTTAATTTTTCTGTAGTATCTTCTTCAACTTACAACCTAAGATTATTGAGTCCAATTTGTACAATGTACAAAAGTGTGTCATTTGTAATGTGTACATTTGTATTTGCATGAACCATGATTACTGTTAAATTTCTAAAATGTGTATGTCAAGTTGTATGATCACTGAGGAACAAACATTCCAGGAATGCATGCACGTGCATTTCTTTGTCTGGTGTTATCAGGAAGTATGATCTGGTAAATGTGAATCATGCCTGTGACAGTGACAAGTCTGGGGTGACATGAAACTGATCATAGTCATGTGATATGCATGCTTCTGTGTGATTGGTTGAACCATGCAACATATGTAGTGTAGTTCTAGTAGAAAATAAGTGCATATTATCAGTGTTATAATAAACAGTTAAAGAACATTTTATCGAAAAATAAACGTGATCATTGTCAAGTTCAAGTCATCCAGTGCATTCAAAATTCAAAACAGAATTTCACTTCAAGCGACAATACCATGCATGTCATTTAAGGGATTAGTAGTTAGTTTCAATTCATCATCGCGTTTGAGCCTTACCGCCTCATACAATAACGTCCATCGTAATACTGCCGGCTGTATGATTGGTAGTGAAATGGGAAACAGTTAATTTAGATCAGCATGCGAAAATGGGTTGCTATAGCAATAAGAAAAATTATCATCCATCCATTAACATGCTGGTAGAGTTATTATTTCATGCCAGAGTATCGTAAATTGATAAAAGTATTAATTTTAGGGATTCAACATTATAAACAATTATTAATTACAAAAAAAAATTTGCACAAAAATACTCCATGACAAATACAAACATCATCAGCCAATCAGAAAAGTTCTTTCTTCAAACAATATTTTCTATTATGATCTGACAATTACCCCTGTAAATAATGAAATATTCCAATCTAGATATACAATGTAGGAGAAACACAGTGGCTGACATAATGGGATATTCCAAAGCTGCAAGAAATAGGGATGTGCAGGTTAATCTTGGAGGGAATACTTACTGATCAGATAGGACCATCACATTATAAGAACCACAGTAGACATTCCTTTCTTCCACGGTAATTTCTTCGGTGAGAATTCCGCTGTACGACTGCTGGAGCGTGATCTCACTTTTGAAATGAACATCCTGACGTTCTTCTTCCAGATTCGGGGCAATATCAAACGACTCATTGCTCATGAGCCGCGGAACTGCCACCTGAATCTTCTTAGCGTAAACTGGGTTACATCCCTGTGCCGAAGCCCCCTGTGGATACAAAGACAAAAAAAACGGGCGGCTTTCCCTCAAGTAATTGTGCTTGTTTAAACTACATATAATTATGGTAAAACAAGGATAAGGAGATGTATAAACAACCCTAAACGCAAAGAATTTCCATAAACCACTTTACAAACAACTGTTGTACTTTTTTTGTGTTCAAAAACTTATTATTATTTTGATTATTGTGTGTGCATAGCGTGCATTCAAATTCATGTAAACAAATAATATATTTACATGTGTTGTATGGGACCCATATTAAACGAGGCAAGTTGCATAAACCACAGCCCTTTAAGTGAAAATACATGCTCAATACAAGTCCCATATAAAATTCTTGGGGAAATTGTGTTGAAATAAGGACCACTTTTAGTCACTGAAGGTGACAGAAACTGAGGAGTCACAAAAATTGTCTTGATGACATATTATTGAATTCAAATTGCCAAACCATGTTATGGACTTATTCATATTAACCCATATTCTGACCACATCACCTGGGTAATGTGGCTTTGCTGCTAGGTAACACAGTGACTCTATAAAATTTAATTAAATTCAAGTTCAGCTAAATGGCGGGATTGGTGCGTATCTACTGTAATTTGTAAATAGTTCAACTACCTGGCAACAATACTAAATATTAGTTTAAAATGATAAGAATTTCTGTACTGAATCAAAAGAGCAGTCAACTTTTTTCTGATCAGATGATGTGATTACACTGTCAACAAAATATAATCTTCGGCCTCAAGATTATTGTTCCTTCTTCTGTCATCTTTTATCATTTTATTGTCACATTTTAGTTGTCCTTTTTCAATGTCATTGTCATATTTCATTTTTGTAACCTTTTTCAAGACGAACCTAAAAAACAAACTCACTCCCTTTAATAGAAAATGTTGATAATAATCTGTCAATCTTGGTTCAAAAAAGCGAGATAAACAAAATAATGCCAATAATTTGAAATATTTTTACAAATTTTGTTGGGAGAACTTCTTTTCTTGTTGTTCAATATCTAATTTAGGTAGAGCTTTAAACAATTTATCTCCCTAACCAACCACCCTGGAATGGTCAAATTTTGTTCTTTGGCATCCACATGCACATATAAAATGACTATATTAATACTGTGATTTTTACCAAAAAAGTAACTTAACAGCCAGACACAGAAAGTAATTATTCATGCAATTGTTCAGAGTTAAAAGATTTAAAGAAATTATAGTTAGTATTACGACAAATATTGGATACATGTGTAAAAATATGAGTGTGTGTACTACATTGGTGTGCACTTAAAACTTGAATCTTAAAAAGTCCTACCACCGACATATCTACTGAAATAAGACTATAGTGTGGGGCTATCATTCAGTGTCAACGTATAGATCTGATATGATATAGTGAAGTAGCCATTCAAGTACACCAACAGTAAAGGGACGGAACGTGGATAGTGATAGGTGTAGATAGGTGAGGAAGCAGTGCATGGTGGGTAAATTTAAATGAGTGATTTGTGCTCTTTGATTGGCTGCTGTGCAACTTACTGCTCAGTCAGTGGGTGTTTCTAAAACGTGGCTAATTTGTATATTTGAAGCTTGTGGTAATTTGCTATTTTTTTTTTCTGGTGAAGTCGAGTGTAAATGACAACTCTTTCACCGCCATTGTGTTGTTGTCAACAAAAATTTTCATAACTTGTGCTGAAAATATGAAAATCTGTTTTTTTAGTCCAAAATTAACATTGATATTGAAAAAAATTGGGTAAAAGAAGAAAATATTTGGCATTGAAATTTTTGCGCAAAATACAAATCTGGCGATGGAAGTGCTACGATGGTGGAACCATTTATGTGCAGATATGTATGTTTTTTACTCACTCACATCAGAAAGATTAATATTAAGCTGATAGGAAGAAGAAGAGGAACAAGAAGATGACAAAAACAGTTAAGAAGATTTAAAAATTAGTATTATAGCAACACTGTTAATATCATGCTGTATGTACAAGAACTGTATAACACACCATTAAAACAAGCAAGAATTCTGATAGTAACAACTGCAAAGTTTGAACTGTTGAACGGCTGCCAAACTGTTATCAACATTTTGGGTTATTTTGAAAACAATGATTTATAAGATAGGGTATGTAACTTTCGTAATCACGTACGGTGATACATTTGTATGCGATGAAGATTTCAGGATTTTTGAATATTTGAAAGTGCTTCCATTTTGTGCGTATCAATCAAATGTACTTTTAACCAATAGCGTCACAGAATGCAGGAGACGCTTTCAAAAACAAATGCGAATAATTAAAGACATGATCAAAAACGGTCTGAGATAAACACAAACCATTTCTTCCACAGACTCACTAATTTGCATTAGGATTTCTAAAAGTGTAGGTTTCACTCGCGATTTTTATGATCATATCGCAATTTATGTGACCTTTTCAATTTATGCGAAATCTTCATCATATATCACACCTTTGCAAACCCTGATTTTAGCAATCCTTGATAAGATTTACAAGATTCAAGTGAAAAATGCAATGTGCATGTATTTGGACAATTTTTGAATCAAAATTTTTCATTAAAAGGCTTTGTTAAATTTGGACAAGAATATGTGATATTTTGCAGTTGTTTCAGAAGTTGACAGTATGGCAGCCAAAAAATAATCTGAAAATCACAAAATTTAATTTAATATTTTGAAAAATCAGCAAACAGCAAAAAAAATATAAAAAATTAGACAATTATATCACACGGGGGTTAATGTGCAGGCAGCAAACAAAACAAATGGAATATGCAATAACCATGGAGGTACAAGTGCAGACTTTATGGGTGGGGTGGGGGTGAGATTAATGACAATTGGTAGGGATAGAGAACATATATGTTCTGTTGAGGCATACAACACTCAATAATATACACAACCACTAAGATCCTTACAAAGAAATAGCACGTTCTAAATTGAGAAAAATGGTTTGACCCCCCAAACCCCCCAAATGAATCATACACGATAACAACTCACGAAAAAAAATTATAGTTTTAAAGTTTTAATATTTTAATATCTTTGAAAATGTTTAGTTTTGTTTCAGATGGCAGTATTGTTTTTCACACATGAGAGTCGGATTCCATTATACAAAAAGTCTGAAATTAAATACTTGAGGATTGGCTGCCGTAAACGAAAATATTTAATTTTGGAATATCGCATTTTAAGCGTAACTATAAATATATCAACAAACACTGCATTCAATACAATCTGCTTTTCATAATGGGTTTACTTTCTAGACGTCAGTGCTTTGCACACAATGAAACGGATATATATACATTTTCAATTTGACTTCAAAGTTTTTCGAAATGGCAACTTAACAACAATAGCAGCACAATAACAATTTATAGTGTTGTATATTATTGTTTAGTTATCTAAGGAATTGTACAATTGTGAGTTTTAAAGTAATTAGTTTTACTCAATGCTGCATGTACTTTACATGTACTTTACTAGGGAACCTATTTTTTCACTTAGTCATTACGCAAATCAGAAATGCAACAGGTTAAGGAAATGTCTGAAGTCAAAATTAAAAATTTTTGAACATAACATAATGATTCAATTACAGAATTTATAGCCTTACAAGTCCCTAGTATCTTGGTTATCAGACTGATGGTGATTTCATTGGTGTTCCCTCTAACACCAAAATAGCCGAACCCTAGCGACCATGAACTGGAACAGCAATGTTTATTGATGGGTGATTCCATTTATAAATGGGTAGGTCAGGTGGGCAAGGTTTGTCACACCTTCAACACAGCTGGAAACAGTCACCAATTATTTGCACAAGGCTGTTGCTTGTATTCACATTTCAGCTATGAAAGAAATGACCGAAACAACTTGAACAAAGAAGAAGGTGAAAATTAAGATGGTGGACAGAAATATTTTTATAATTTTTTTTTGAATGCAGGAATATTTTGATCATAGTTTTCTCACCCTACAAATATGTACTTTTTTCAAAGCCATAATAATTTTATTTTCAACCTCATTCACTTGAGTTTTTATTTTAACAAATACAAAAACATTGTTCTTAACTAATTTAAAATTAAAAAAATGTTTGCAACCCAACTGTGGCCTAGCTATTGCATTGCAATATATCAAACATGAATCAAAAATTTATCTAAAATGTGTGTATACCATATTTGTTTTATTAAAAGCACATGCGTTTGTAATTGACATTTAACAATTGTGCAGAAAATAAAAATCCTTTTTTCTAAATTTGTTATCGTCCATTAAACTTCCCTTATTATTTAACAACATGTACATTTGTGCATTTGACTATGTGATCGCCAAGTAAACGTTAATATGGCATACCGTAGTTTACTTAAATTGTTTTCTTAGCTTCTGTAAATTCTATAATAAATATCATCCTCTCTACAAATGAATATAGCATATTACTTTAAAAAGAAGGGAGCAAACCATTTCTCTGACAACAAAGACGACAGCTTCTGGTTTGAAAGGATCTTAGTGCGGTATAAAATGAGTTATTCACTACTTCATAATATCATACCAACCTGCATTAACATGACTTCCTCCCATATTGCTTGGTTGAGATCCCGATCACGGTGAACCTCCTCCACGATAACTCGCCAGTGCTTGCTGACGCACAGACAGTTATACAGGTTCGGCTGGTCCAGAAAGCTGAGAATGTATTTTGACAAGTGAACGGGCAGATGGCGAATAAAGTCTTTGTACTTCATGACGCCCAATATAGCTCTGGTCGTCGTCGGAATAACAAGGCACGTTGGGTCAATAGACGAGAATTCCGATTGGCTGTCTAATATGCTCGATTCGCCATCGTCTTCGACAATTTCATGATCAGAATCCTCAGGGAATTCCTCAGCGAATGGATTAGTGACGGGGACGGAATATTCAGAACAGGCCAACTTTAAGAGATCTATTTCCGGATGCTCTTCAGAGTCAAACGAATATACAGACGCGTCCAGAGACTGCGTGTCCGCGTTGCATAGCTCATCTGCAAAAGAACACATAATAGTACGTCAATAAAAGTTCCTCCAAACTAGTCGGATTTCAGCAGCATTGGACGCATGCAACACTACAATTTTCAAATGTCCTGGCGTTGTTTTTGACAACTGCACTCAATAATTGCCAAACAATGAACACTCAATGTCACTTAAGCCCAATAAAAGAAAGATAACCAAGAATTCTTCTGTATACAAATGACTGTTAGGGCCACCCACAGTCACAGCACTCATTAGTAAACAAATTGCGTCAAATACTAAGAAACTGCAGTAACAAGGACACAATTTTGGAAACGACATTAGGACGTCATTACCTGAAGATCCACCAATAGTATGTTAGACGTAACATCGATTTTCTAACAACACTTAGAATTATACCAGGCTGCAAGATTGATGAATTATGTTACCAAGTTACCATGTAAACAAAGTGTATGCTGATGTAGGCTATGATACATGAAACCAACAACTTTGGACTCAACCATTTTTTTTGTAGGTGAGCTTTTAAAAAATGACTGGAAATATGTGTTATGTGCAGTATTACTGACAAGTCAAGTGAGTGGACTAGACATTCAGATTTTTTTTTTTGTTTTTCTGAAATTACAGATGCAGAAGTTATCATTTCAATAAATTTGTAAATCAATATACATTTTATTCCTGTTGGAATAAAAAAAATACAATATTTACTTTCTCACAATCACCACTAGGGGGCAGTATGCACTCAAAACCACCTCCTACCAGAAGAGCAGCAACTGATACGTTGACCGAATAACTTTTCTTTCTTCCTCTTTTGACTCTACTTCAATAAGCACAACAATGTGTTTTATGTTTGTCAATAAAGTGCTATTTAATCAGCTTGCCACTTCTTTTCACATAAAGTCATCTAAAACCTTGATAAAAACTTGTAAAGGGAAATTGAGTTCAAATTCCTTTTTTCTTTGAACGACTAAAACCACATGTAAAACATTTGTATACAAGTGAAAACTATCCCCTTATAAAGTACCTGCTCAAAAGCAGGTCTATTACTTTCTCTAACTAGAACAAAAAAACAACAACATACAGATGAGAGCAAATTTAATAAAAGCAGCATTTTTTTTTAATATGTAATTTTTCGCACAATGTAAAAAAATTGCTGCCATTGTCAACTTCCACAAAATAGTTCCATGTTTCCTCACATTAATCAGTGAGAATGGTTCAAAATTTTCTGATAAAAAATTAACAATTAACATGTTTTCTCTGTTTGAATTTATGAAAAACAACATTTTGTAGGAAGAAAATAGGTTCATGGATGGATCATGCATGTTGACAACATTGACACTTATTGTCATTTTTACTTCAAGTCTAGAGGCAATAAGTGTTGCATAGTTAATGATTGTGGAAAGCGATTGCAGTTTTCTAGTTACAATACACAAGGCTAACACACTATATTGACACAAGAGTTTCCTGAGATTTTGTAAAGCTATCCTATTTGACTGGAAAATTAGAATAAAACGTTTGATACATAAACTAGTTTTTGAATTCTCAGTATGCATGTATTTTGGTTGATTTCCAATGCAGAACGTCCGCTTAAATAGAGCAAAGCATTATGGGGAATTGGCAGTCATTATTTCCATGGAAACGCATGTTTAGATACATGTGTATGTGAACCTCCTCTTTATTTGCTTTTTGGTACATGTATGACATATTTGATGGAACTGTCCGTTCACCAAAATATCAACAATATGTAGTGAGATTAAATTTTTCAGCATTTTTACAATACAGTGTATTCAGCCATATTTATTGTTAACAATGTTGATTTTCATTCCAAGCAAACAAATGAAAAAATTAATGTGTACATAAATTTTGAAAAAAAAAAAATTAACAGAAACAATTTTTTATTTTTACCTAAACTCAGAATCTGCAAGTTATAGAAAAAAAGTTCATGTTACCGTATTTATTCTATTAGAAGCACAGCTCAAATATAAGTGCAGGTAAGCTAACACTTGGATTTCTTGTATACATGTACTGGATTACTGAAATATGACTTGTTTTGCTTATAGACATACCTTTGTTATTTGTGTGAGCATATGCAAATACTAATGAAGAAAATACAGTATTTTGACTATAGGCATACCTCAAACTATTTATATATTAAAGCTCATGCGCTAATAATAGAGTAATTATGGTAATGAGAATTTATATTTAGAATTTATATAAAAGATATATGCAAAACATTGGAGAGCATTTAACAAAAATGAGAAAAAAATAAATTGCAATTTTCTGCATTTCAGGATTCAAAAATTTATGCACAAATGAGATTTAGCAAAAAAACTTTTATTCAAAAATATTTGTTGGTTGGAAGTAAAATTAATCCTTAATATTTATCACTGCTGAGAAAAACAAAATAATGAACAAATGAAAAGTAAATTTAGTTCAAGCTACAAGTAGCCCTTAAAAAAATAAACCACCAGAATCCATCAATGACCAGAACCCCTGGATTGAAACAGTTTTTACAACATAGCTGTAAAATCTATTGAAAAACAAATTACGCAGGGCATATTGTTATAAAAACAACAATACCCTCCTGGGTTAAGTTTAAAGTACAAACACTAATAACAAAGAACCATATACTTATATGGGCTGCACTTTCTAATGATACCAAGACAGGACAGCTGTTATTGAAAAAATTCAATCAAAATCCAATCAACTGAATATGTCAAGTTCATCTTAGGACAAGTTTGCCAGATCAAAGATAAAGTCACTATTCATATACCAGAAATGCGTAACAATGACCACAAAATGCGATTGTTGTGTGTTTTTCAAATTTAGTTATTCTCGCTAGGCACGTTATTTTCTGATATGTTTTTGTTGTGAATCTCTATAAAGGGATAACAAATAAGTTGTCTATTTAGACCTGAATTTAATTTTACTAATATACATGTTCAGGATATGAATTTAACGGGCCAAGGTCATTCCAAATGTTGTCGCAAACCATTGACATCATCCACTTATAGTACTTTTCAAATGAAACAAAACAAATGAACATCGCCCTCAACTGTGATGAATGGAAATGTTACAGAACAAACAAAATATTTTAATAACATCATTTTTAAATTGAGGATACATGTTGTATTAATGAATAACCTTTTTGTGTGAAGGCTGAAGTACTATTTCAATGCCTGGTGCTGTCCTTATGCTAAAAGAACATTACTGTAGGGTCAAAGTCCACAACCATGGCAACCAGCCAAGTTCATTTTCATTATTATATTCAATACTCTTTGACAATAATTTATAATGATGAATGCATTGTATGTCTTAAAATCAAATCCCTATCTATTATACCAGTCACCATAGCGACAGTGATTGTATTGGTTGTTATGGTAAACAAATCTTTATCCAGAGGATTATTTGATATTTATACAGGATATTTACAATAATTGTGCAGAGAATAAAGTTGGGATTTTAAAGCGATATAAGTTTAAATTCTTGGGATAAGTTTACTTATTTATGTTCACTGTTGTTGCCTAGCAACTGGTTAATAATTATTAAACTTTGTATAGGTTTTTAAAGACCATGCATTTTTCTATGATTGTTGATTTTGGATACTAAACAAAAATAATACGCTAATATTAATTTTAGGCTTCTTTAACTAGTACTCCCAGCAGTCCTAATAAGAATTCAGTTTAGTACATAAGGATATGAAAAATTAATTGTCAATGTCAAATATTATTTAAATAGGCAGTACTGTGATTGGAACAGAAAAAAAAGACAGTGAATTTATTATATTGGGTAGCAATAATTCATGATTTGTTGTTGTAGAATAGAATAGAATAAAATGACTTGTACATATTTCTGTTCTTGGAAATCAGAACTTTATTTTCACTGTTTTCTGAAGTGCCGAAAATTGCATCTATTTTACAACAACTCTATATATTACACGAGTCAACCCCATTTTTGTTTTAAGCAAAAATTAAAGTCAGTGGAAGTATAAAATAGTCCACAATATAAATGTATATTATTCTCAGAAATTAACCCCATAACTAAGACAGTAATAAAGCTACAATGACAAGTTTTCATTACTGGCAACCATCCATCAAAATCCAGGAAAATAATATATTCCAAAACACCCACAGTTAAATTGACTGACTCAAGTAATTTATTTTAACGTTGACAGACAAGCTAGGATACTCTATTCTAGTCTTCAATATTCAGTCAGACTACTAGTCTGCAGGTCTGCTGATTTGCATAATTCAATTTAAACGTGTTTTAGTTGTCATGGAAACAAGCATAAAAGAAAACAGCTGTTGAATACCATAAGTTCAACCCAGGTTAAAATTCATACTGCAATTTGAAGACGCATATTTTTGGCATTGAATGTTGCAGCCTTAACAGTTGAAAGCTCATGATAAAATAACATATTGCTTTGCAACAATAACAATTCAACAACCTGAATGTGAAACAAGGACAATTCAAATATGTGCTATCAATATTATGAAACCCATCATGGAATTTCAAATAAAAATGTCATTAAACATTGATGTGATTGACTGGTAAAACCAATAAAGGGTGTTTTATCTCAGTAATTACTATTCATGATATCCATGTAGTCATCTAATTTGCATATAGTTGCTAAGGAGCGTATAAACATTATATCAAACTGGTTGAAGAACCATTGCTTGAAACGTCTAGCTACATTTTGTATTTTTAATAGTTACCTAGGACAACGATTACCAAATGTTATCTACTATATATGTATATCATGGCTATCATTTTAGAGAGTGGACCATTATTACAATGGGCATGATGGGCAGGTTAGAATCAAGGGAGGTGAACATTTATGTTTAATGGAAGTTGTGTCATTTTGTCCCCCCCCCCCCCATGTAGATTGTGTTTCTGATTCCTGTGTGGCTACCTACACCAGCAATAATGGTCTGTTCCTGAACAGATTAACCTTGACAGACCTTACCATCCCCAATAGAGATAATAGTCCATCCTTCAGCAGATTTTCCCACCCCCA